CATGCGGCCTTCCAGAACAGGTGGGATGGAACACTTGCTCGAGTATTTCTGTATGCCACAAAACTACATGAGCCTTCAAGTCTGTATGCCGCAAAACTACATGAGCCTTCAAGTCTGTATGCCACAAAACTACATGAGCCTTCAAGTCTGTATGCCGCAAAACTGCATGGGCCTTGCTGTTTCTCATGTACGAAGGTACCATGCCGTGAGAAGGGCCGGAGGCTAGAGAGCCCTTTTTATCATGCCCTTCAGCTCCTCTGGCCCTACGTTGGCAGATACGCGTATCACGTATAATACGCTAGCGTATTATACGCTGGGTATATACGCCATATGCCATGGCTGGCGTACTGCTGATACGCTAAAATACGCTGGGCGGGCAGGAAAAAACTTTTTCCCGGGCAGATTTCGCCCTCGAACTGTACTAAATACGCCATGGCGAGGAAGTACTAAAGCTAGGAGAGTTTGAGCTCGACGAGAGTCAGACGAAATGCAAGATGAGAAATGCGGGATTGAATGAAAGAGGAGCTGTTTAGGGATTGAGATGTTCGAACGAGTGAAAGGGGGGAGGTTGGGTTTGGGAGGTTGAGAGGGGTGGTGTGTGGTTGGGGCGTATTTTAGGATTTCCAGGCGTATTAGCGTATTGCGTACATACGCTAGCGTATATACGCAATACGCCCACCCCCCAAGGGCGTATCTGCCAACGTAGCTCTGGCCGTCCTTCATCCCTTTACCTCCTTTTCTCTCACCCTCATCTCACTCACCCTCTCTGGCCCATCCGTCCTCTCCAGTCCCCCACCCCCACAGCACGTACGAGTTTTGAGGCGCCTCAAAACTAGACGTACCCTTCAACTCCTCTGGCCGTCCTTCATCTCTTCACCTTCTCTCTCTCATCTCACTCACCCTCTCTGGCCCATCCCTCCTCCCCAATGCCCCACCCCCACAGCACATACGACCTGGCGGGCACCATCCCCACGCTGCGCCTCTTCTACCAGCAGTCCATTCCAGTGAGACGTACGAGACTGCCGGCTCGAATGGCAACCGCTCACCTCGCACTCATTCTCCCCAATCCCCGTACCCTTCCTCGCTCTGCAGCACATACGACCTGGCGGGGACCATCCCCACGCTGCGCCTCTTCTACCAGCAGTCCAGTGAGACGTACGAGACGGCATGCACGCGCTACATCGACTCAGTCATCTTTGGGGTGAGCCTTCTCTCCCCTTGTGTTCCTCTGCGTAAGGCTATCTGTGTGCGACAAGGGCTCACAAGAAGGGGAGTGACGGGGAGGGAGCGGAGTGCCTCTTCTACCAGCAGTCCAGTGAGACATACGAGACAGCATGCACGCGCCACATCGACTCAGTCATCTTCGGGGTGAGGGCTCTTTCGCCTTGTGAGCCCCTCTGTGTGACTCTGTATGTGCCCCTGCATAAGGCTCTGCGTGGGCTCTCTGTGTGCGAGAAGGGCTCTCTACAGACGGCATGCACGCGCTACATCGACTCAGCCATCTTCGGGGTGAGGGCTCTTTCGCCTTGTGAGCCCCTCTGTGTGACTCTGTATGTGCCCCTGCATAAGGCTCTGCGTGGGCTCTCTGTGTGCGAGAAGGGCTCTCTACATACGGCATGCACGCGCTACATCGACTCAGCCATCTTCGGGGTGAGTTCCCGGGTGAACGTTCTTTCTCTGCGGAGAGTGACAAGTAGGAGGAGAGGGGCCCTGCTGCCACTCAAGTGAGACGTACGAGGCAGCATGCACGCGCTACATAGACTCAGTCATCTTCGGAGTGAGCACTCGCTTCAGTCATTCCCCCCCAACTGTCCGTCCCCGTTCCCAACACATCCTTAAACATTCTACTCTTGCTGTTTGATTACCTTCAGAAGATACCATTCCTGTCGCTGACCATCTCAATCTCTTTGAACCCCCTTGCCTGGTACTGTCCATTCCCCCTACCCAACACATCCATGTGACTCTACCTTTGCAGAATTTCGACAAGCTGTTCGAATAGCTTCAGAAGATCAAGAACCTGCTGCTAACCATTCCGACTTCCTTGATCCCCCGTACACTCTGTGCATTCCCCCTACCCAACACATCATTGCAGAAGTTTGACAAGCTGTTTGAGTATCTTCAGAAGATCAAGAACCTGCTGCTGACCGTTCCGATTATGTTGACCCACCATTCTGGTTTTGTTGACCCGCCCTCCCTGCACTGTCCCGTCCCCCCCCAACCCAACCCATACTTGTTATATTACTCATCATTGCAGAATTTCGACAAGCTGTTTGAGTACCTTCAGAAAATCAAGAACCTGCTGCTGACCATCGAAACAGAGGAGGTATTCGAGCAACCTCTAAGCATGACTCTAATTTCATCTCTGTCACCGACAACATCTAAGCATGACTCTAATTTCATCTCTGGACTACCCCCATGTACCGCCGGTTCCGTCTCTCCAATGTCCTCTCCAGCTCGCAATCTTTCTGTTCCATACTACTACGTTCCATGTCGCCATGTCCCTAGCTTGCTTCAATTTCCATTCCGAATCGGGATGACTTTTAAGTAGACCCCAAAACCATCACCCACTTACGCAAGCGACTCCCTCATGTTTCATTCTTTTAGTGTGTGCCTCAGATTCCGTTTCAAATCAGCTTTGAGACGCCACTCGTTGTCCCCTTGCCCTCTTGTGTGCCTCAGATTCCGTTTCAAATCAGCTTTGAGACGCCACTCGTTGTCCCCTTGCCCTCTTGTGTGCCTCAGATTCCGTTTCAAATCAGCTTTGAGACGCCACTCGTTGTCCCCTTGCCCTCTTGTGTGCCTCAGATTCCGTTTCACATCAGCTTTGAGACGCCACTCGTTGTCCCCTTGCCCTCTTGTGTGCCTCAGATTCCGTTTCAAATTAGCTTTGAGACGCCACTCGTTGTCCCCTTGCCCTCTTGTGTGCCTCAGATTCCGTTTCAAATCAGCTTTGAGACGCCACTCGTTGTCCCCTTGCCCTCTTGTGTGCCTCAGATTCCGTTTCAAATCAGCTTTGAGACGCCACTCGTTGTCCCCTTGCCCTCTTGTGTGCCTCAGATTCCGTTTCAAATCAGCTTTGAGACGCCACTCGTTGTCCCCTTGCCCTCTTGTGTGCCTCAGATTCCGTTTCAAATCGGCTTCAGCAAAGCAGACCTGCGGAAAGTGCTCAAGTCACAACTCACAGGGGTAAGCTGAGAATGTAACCATAAAATTGTAAGTCCATTCAAACTTCACCTCGATTGAGTTCCAAATTGGCTCCAGCATAGCCGATCTGCGGAAAGTACTTCAATTGCAACGCACTGGGGTAAGCTGGCTGGAATTGTGTAGGACCGTAGGGTAACGAACTGTTGTTGCTGCTGATTCTCCGCATTAAAGCTGTCGAGTTTTCGGTGGCCTCTCTAGTCCACAATCTGCGATAGCATGCTTGGTTGCCCGAAAGTTTAATTTCTAGTCACAGGTGGACCAATTCCTCAACTCCATGTTCAACAACATGCTTGGCGCTTTATATGACTCTTAACACCTTCGTGCATTTCTTCTTAACACTATTCCATTACTTTTTCCTTTCTTTTTCCGCGAATGGTTGCAGGTGGACCGATCGCTCAATTCGATGTTCAACAAGATGAGGAAAAATCTCACGTCAGGAGATCTGCTTCCCTCGCTCTGGCTCAAATGTCAGGTGAGAACACTGTCTGAGTGGAAGCATGGTATGCTCGTTGCGGCGCCCTGCAACTGTGCATTTGCTTTTTTAGTCGACTCGAACAAGCCAGGTCAGCACGTCTTGCTGAGTAGTTGGCTCCAAGTGTAGTGTAATAAGGGTGGCTCAAAAGAGACGCAACGGTGTGTGCCTCCGCTTCGCACATCACATACTCGACATTACTTCTGAGTCGAGTTAAGAAACGTGCAACTGAGTCGAGCATTTTTGCCTAAATTCCTCAATTCTAGTGCTGTAATTCTCAACTCTTGCTTCGTTTCTTGTCTATGGGAAACGTTTGTGTGATCAGGAGAGCTTCATGGAGCGGTACGAAGAATTGGAGGCTGTGGTGGCCAAGTGCTATGCGAATGAAGCTATCAGCCCGTCTTCAAGGGAAATGCGCGATGCCTTCAACTCCATTGTTGCGTAGTTTCCTTTTCAGGGTATTACAGCTGTGTGCATGTCATGTGCCATTTCATTTCCCTCCTGTGCTGCTTACTGTTGTGGGTGTTATGCAATTCCTACTAGTGTGCTGAATACCATGCTTGTGTTTCTATAAGAACGCTTTGAAATTTCTAACTCCAAAGGCTTATTCAATAGACGAATGCAGACTTGAGTGAACCTTCCCCCCACCAGAGCCCTGACAGGCAGGCTTCCGCTGGGTGCCAAGAAAGTCTACTGCTCGTCAAAACAGTTGGGCTCACCTTGCCACCGCTTTATTTACAATGTATATGTGTACAAAAGATACAGACGAATTTGAGCATCAGGAGGCTACCTAACTAGCAATGGCCCAACTGCAATCCTAGGTTGAGACCCCCAATGAGGTCTCAAGAACCAACACCAAGGTACGCAAAGTCAGCCAAGGAGGGTGGGGTGGGATCTGGTGGGGCGGAGGGTGTGTCAACACTGTAACGAATTTGTGTCCGACGGCAGATGGTTCGAGCCTGCTCACGCTGGTGCACCAAGGAAATCCTCTTGAAGTAGCTAGTCTCGAAGAGCTCTGGAATCAGGTCAGATGCACCACCCATGTCACGAAGTCGAGTCGCCCCTCGTCTGCTGCAGTCTTTGATGAAGCTGAGAAATGCCGTGCTGAAGCAACCGAAGGTTTCAAGAACGAGAGGAAGAAGCTTCACGTCTGGGCGGTTTTGTAACGAAGATGCATACAGGGTCCGCTTCTCAGTTGCGCGAGCAGATGCAGCTGAGCCGATTACTGATGCAGTCTTGGAGTTTGGGGGACCATGCTGCGGGTCTGCAACTGAAACATCTAATGCCCACGTAGTCCCAGAGCTGATGTCACGGCAGCTGATGTCTAGGCGACGTCCTGAAAGAAGGTGGGAGTCCTCCAGCTGTACGACGTAACCAAGCTCGGACGTGATGCGATGAACCTCATGCTTGATGGCGTCGTGGACCCTGGTAGGCTCGTTAGAGGATGGGCAGCGGAGGACGTGAGAGACGACTGAAGGGTCTGTGAATGCCGAGCCACAAGTGCATGTGCGGGTGGTCGTGAGGTGTGGAATGGGGAGGCCAAGACGAATAGCGGCTGCAATACACCACTCCGTAGGTGACAGCTGCATGTGCGAAGAACATGGAGCCACAGTAAGCCAATCGCCAGCATGGGGCCCTTGTAGGGAGGTTAAACGGGCCAAATGTTGGGGAGAGGTTACTGTGGATCGCACGCGCTCGAGCATGACAGCCTCCAAGTGCTGTGAAAGGTAGGAATATAGCTTCTGTGGATAGCCAGCGTGAAGTGCGGGCCAGGTAGGGAAGTGCTGCCGAATGGAAGGATGAAGTTTGGACATGGCTGTGGGAATGCATGGGTCAAGGCGGTCCATGGTGCCTGAAGCGATGAAGGGACGGAAAATAGGGGAGCCATGAATGGTGAAGCATGACGAGAGGAGTGAAACTGTCTGTGCCCAGCTGCACAGGTAACTGAGAGAAGCAGTTGCAGCTGAAGAACGGAGGCCGAACCCACCGAGGCGAATGGGAAGGAATGGCTGTCGGTGTGCTGTGGCAGTGTGGTCAAACGCAGGAGGCCAGTAGTCAGAGCCGATGAGGCGAACAAAGTGGTCCAGCAAGGTGTTGTCCCAGTCAGTGTAAAGCTCTTCTACCTCGGGAAATGGTGCAACTGTGCGGAGGAGGAATGAGGGACGGGCGGAAATGCAGAGAGTAAGGAGGCGGGAGGCAGTCTGTGGATCATGAAGGTCATGCAGGAGAGGCAGTGATGAAGAGAAAGAGTGCAGTTTGTCTCGAACTGTGGAGATAATGTGGGTGTCCGATCCGATAGGCACTCCTGCAACCGTGAGACCGTTAGGGGCAATGATGATGTCTGATGGAGGTGTGAGGTCCGAAGGGAGGTCCAAAGGGGCCCAGAGGGAGCATTTTGATGGTTGCACCCTCAGGCCCAGGTCATTGAGACGAGCTGTAAGCGCTGTGTAGGCAGGAAACACGTCATGCGCAGGACCGACCATGTACGTGTCGTCTGCGTAGGAGGTGATGAAAAGAGCTGGAGATTGACGCTGGATGGGGCGAATGGCTAGGTGCTGGGTGAGGGCGAACAAGAATGGCCCGCATGGGTCACCCTGTCAAACACCCGATGATGACTGCAGTGTCTCGATTAATGGGCCGCTGCGGTAATGGAGAGAAGAGGGGGAGGCATAGAAGAGGCGGAAGAAAGGGATGAGGCTGGAGAACGGGGAGTCTCGCAGGGCGTTGAACATAGCGGAACGGCTGAAGGAGTTGAAGGCGTTGGCAACATCCAGTTCCAGCACAACCCACTCTGGGTGGAGGGAGAGGGCCGACTGGACTGCATGGGCCATAACCTCGATCCCTGCGGAGACAGCGACCCCAAATTGTAGGGAGGGAAGGAAGAAGTCCCGGATCTGCTGCTTGAAGTGAAGAGTAACGCAACGGGACAGCAGGCGCGGCAGTATCTCGCCGATGGCGATGGGGCGGACCCCTCCATGCGGCTTCTGGAGGGCAACAAGATTAGATGCGGTGAAGTAAGGTCGAACTGTTTGCGGGAGGTCGCCTTGCAGCCAATTGTGGAACAGGCGCAGAAGATGCGGCAGATGAGTCTGGTACGAGAGGAAGGTGTCCCGAAGATGCTCGATAAGCCACCCCGAAGGGCCAGCAGCTGTGCCTCGTGGGGCTGAACGCAAGGCCTGATGAAGAAGTGGAATGGTGAGCTGAGGCACTTCCGAAGGCGAGAAGTCGGACAGCCAGTCTGGAAGTTTTTCGGTAGCAGGAGGGTGCTTGGCCTTAAGCGCAGTAACAGTTTCAGGGGTCGGTGGGGCAAGCTCGCCAGCTTCTAAAGCGGCAAGGGAACGCGACCAGTCCCCGCAATGCGCGAATCGTTTGGCTCGGTTCAGTCGGGCGAACGTGGCTGTGGACCGGGCGGATGAGACACTGTGCGGTCGAGACGCTGGAACGGCAGCAGCGACAGCTTCGTTGAAGAGAGAAAACCAGTCGCCTTGAATGAAACGACGTGCAAAGGCTGCACATGCTGCTGTGGCTGATTCTGAGGCAGGAGAAATGGAAGAGCGAAGCACCAGACGGGGGAAAGCAAGGAGGAGGAAATGAGCAGCAAGATCTTGCGGGAAGATGGCAAGGCGGCGAAGTGGTATGAGTAAAGAATCCAAGACCAGCAGGCGAGCTCGCGGCGGAATCCGACGCAATAGTGTGCCTGGGGTGACAGTGGGACTGAAGAACGTCCCCCAGTCCCAGGTTACGACAGCGTCCCAAGTCTGTTGAGATATCGGTGGGGGTGCTGTAGAGGAGGAGGGAGTAGTAGTGGCACGAGGAGGAGGAGGGCGGGCTGATTGCTGACGCGTTGTGTTGTTGCGGGAACAAGCAGAGAGGTGGCGAGTAAGACCACCCGAGCTGGCAAAGTTACGATTACAGGTTTTGCAGTAATATGTTGGGGTCGGGACCGAAGTGGGCAAAGGAGAAGAAGAAGAGGCTGCAGCAGGATGCGGAGCAGATGTCGAAGCAGGAGGAGGAGCAGAAGGAGGAGGTTGTGAAGTTTGCGCAGCTGCAGGTTCAGGTTGGCGAGAAGCGTGCTCCTGGGAGGAGGAGGCTAAGGTTTCAGTAAGGACTTTATGAAGTACGGTCTTCTGTTGTTCTGAAACAAAGCGTGGTGGGGCTGATGACTGAGGGTGTTGAGAAGAAGAGGCTGGGGGGTGTGGAGTATCTGATTCTGGCAATGACGAAGAACGGTGTGTCGTGGCAGAGTCAGTAGGGAGGGGTGACGGACGTGGGCGTAAAGGTGGCTGTTGAATCGGTAGGGTTGCAAAAGGTGGGGATGAACGCGAGCGGTTAGGAGGACGAGAGGGGTGTGGGTCCCGGTCTTCAGGCGTCCTGTCCCGCTTACGGTTTGTCATGGTGAGAAAGTGGATTAGGAAGATTCATATGCTGTGCAGTTAGCGGTTTAACAAGTGTGTCAAATTCGCGTTTGGGAGAGGTAGTAGCGCGGATGCAGCAACGAGATATCATGCAGTGCAGAAGAGGTTTTCGTGGGTAGTTGGGGCTGATCGTGCTGCTGCCGAGGTGCAACGTGCTGGTGCTTGCGCAAATTGAAACACGTGGAAGTGGGGTCGTGTGTGGAAGGTGCAAGTTGGGAGGGTGGGGGAATTCGCGAAGGTGCCAGTCGTCGTGGGGGGTAGAAACAGGTGTAGGCAGGCGTCGTGCTGTCCCCCAGTGCTCGATTACTAGCAAAAACCACGCCGTCGCCGAAGGAACTCCTCTCCGCGTCGGACGCTAGTGAGTCTGTCGAGTGAGCTAAGGGTGGTGCCGACGTGGAGAAGCACTGTCAGAGTAGTAGCACGATTCGAATTTCGTCCGCAGCACTGTCAGGGTAGTCGTGCGTAGGGTTTCTCGCAGTTTTAGTGTATGCGTGCAAGTCGCGGCGCTTATTTACAGTACAAAAGAAGGTGCAAGGTCGCTGTTTTCGCTCCTTAGCGGTGAGTAGTGAGTTCTGCTGCTTTACTCGAGCGAGCAGCAAGGCGAACTACGAAAACGAAGGGCGTTCTAGCGCCTTAAACGTTGCTGCAGAACTACTGACGGAATTGCCAGCTGGAAAACCTTGAGCGCTTTTGTCGTACGCGCAACCAGTTACATTTCACGTTATTCGCTCTATTCCCGAATGTTCGCTAAACGTCGTTCACCTTGTGGGACAACAGTCAAAGTGATGCTCGACAAATGACGACAATCTGTGTGGACGAATGTAGACGAGTTACGAAAAGATGGTGCTAAACTGCTGCGACTCTGTCTGACGACGAACTCCTGGCAACAATACAGTAACCCTGACGAGTTTAGTAGAACGAGCTTCTGTCAGATAGGCCTGGGTGTCCCTCGAGGTGCCGAGGGGCGGGGTTGCGAAGTGCACACACTGAACAATCGTGTGCGACGGTTTTGCGAATCTCACGAATGTCCATTGCGAAGCCCACCAACTCCCAAGGCAATCGTCTTCTGGGTCTGACTGGAGCCAGACAGAACCGAGGCTATGGCTTCCAACTGCCAATCGCGGATGGGAAATATGGAGATAAGGAAAGAGACAAGAGGCTTGAAGTCTAGGCTCTGCCAGTGCCGTCCCCCGTTTCTTTTACATTCTCTCATTTGTTTTTCGTCTAGTCAGTAGCTTCTGTTGAATCACGAACACCTGCTGCAGCTGCTGCACCCTTCACATCCTTGACTTGCGCTGCTGCCTTGCTGGTTCCTCACGCGTGCCGTTTCCCCTTGCTCCGGCCGACCAACCTACCATCCCTAGTCTGAAAGCCGATTCGCGTCACGCCAGCAGCACCTCCAGCGTTGGTTGTCACCAGCCCGGCAGAACTTTTGCAGCTCAAATGAATTTCTTGTGGGCTAATGGAGCGTGTCGGGAATATACCGTCGTAATAGCTATAGCGTCACCGTCAGCTTTCAGTATGTTCTGAAGGGTTCCTCGTCAGCTACACTGACCTGGTAACCCGTTCGCAATTGATTTGCCATTGTAGTTACCTGTTGTGTCCCCATTGTCGCGAAAGTGGACCCTTCCAGGACCCTCGCTTTAATCCTTCGAAGCATTGCCCGGAAGTTCCGATGGACTGCTGTCACAGCTTTCTGATGACGTCACTAGAAATACCTCCTAGAAGAAATCATTTCTTACAAGCGAGTTGACTTCACGTCCAATCCCTGAAGAGTCGACGTTCACGTAAATATTCAACCCTTAATCCGTGCTAGGCTAAGTTACGACGTGCATTCGAAGACGGGCTCATCTAATATACACCACTTTCAGATGGTTACCCTAATTAGATAGTACATCTCGTTACTGCTCGCGAAGGCTTTCGCCGACCAATGGCGGCGGCCGGATCAGCATTGACGTCGGTGAACGAAGGCGACGAGAACTCGCTGTTCTACGATGATCCCGATCTCGCCGTCGACGATTATATTCCCAAGGACCGTCATGGTAAGACGGAAAGGTCCTTCAAGGTTCGTCAAAGTCCGTCAAGACCCGTCAATGTCCGTCGAGGTCCGTCAAGGTCCGTCGAGGTCCGTCAAGGTTCGGCGTTTGAATCGACTCAAGGTTCGGCGTTTGAATCGACATGGCGAGAACCATCTTCTTCTACGCCATTGGAGGTTATGTTGCCACCGACCTCCACGGTACGAGGGGGAGGTCCGTCAAGGTCAGTCAAGGTCCGTCAAGGTAAGAACACGTTTTTCAAAATGCGGCTACGCACACAAAATGAGTCATTTTGTGTGCGCTTTTGTCGTCGCCGCCAGTCTCCGTCAGGGTAAGTGTCTTCGTCGCCGACGGTTTCCGTTTCCGTCAGTTTCGTCGAGTCCGTCAAGTGCTCCTTACATCTGTCCGAAACCTCGCCTCGACCTCCGCCTACTCACATTCTCGTCATCCGCCAACTTAGGGTTTCCGCAATCTCAGATAAGACCACGTTTCGGCTGAACAACACACCAACCTCCCTTCCTCCCGCCCCGGTTCCCCTTTCCGGCCACCCCATTCCCCCTGAAAAAAACCCTACTATACTCGAAGCAGTTGCGAGAAAACCTGTCGCATCTGGCCATTGAGAAGGGCCAATATTCGGTTAAAGGAACTCAGAATTCCGCCCCCCCGCTCCCTTCCTTCCGCACTCTTTTCCTCCCTGCCCCCTCTCCTCAACCGCTCCTTTCCCCTGCATAAACCGTAACGATAATTAAAGCATGTAGGGGAGCATTTGGTGGGAAGGATCTGAAGACGCGCTTCTCGGGAACCGCCGGAACCTGCAGCATGCCCCCCCGTTTTCCCCCCCTCCCTCCTCCCCTCCTCCCGCCTCGCTTCCCGCAACCCTCGCCCCTGCTTCATCGCCCCTGGCTCCCTTTTTCGTCCCTCTCCCGCGCCCACACCCCCCTTCTTTATCCTTCACACCTATTCACACCCCTCTCTCTCTCTCTCTCTCTCTCTCTCTCTCTCTCTCTCTCTCTCCCTCTCTCTCCCTCTCTCTCTCTCTCTCTCTCTCTCTCTCTCTCTCTCTCTCTCTCTCTCTCTCTCTCTCTCTCCCGCTCCCTCTCTCCCAACCAGACTTGGAGCTGATGAGGGAACGCCTCTCGAAGCTGCTGTTAGGGGACGACCCCTCGGGAGGCGCCAAGGGCTGCGGGCCCGCCCTCGCCATGGCTAACGCCATCACCAGCGTCTCAGGTGCGTCAGGTGCAACTTCAGGTATGGTACACAGTCTCATCTCATGTGGTGTGGACTGTGGCTTTAAGAGCTGCGGGCCTGCCCTATTATTGCCAACGCCATCACCAGCGTCTCAGGTCCGTCAGGTGCTTTCTCAGGTGGGTTTGCCCGTTCCAGATTTAGCAGGTGGCGTCTCAGGTAGATTACACAATCTCTGGTGGATTTTGGACTCTAACAGCTCTATCTTCCTCCCTCTCATTCCAGCATCCGTGTTTGGAGATTGCTTTGCGACCGTTGAGAGACGAGGACAAGAACAAGTGGGGGGGGGAGATGTATATATGGGCGCGTATGAAAAGGCACCCCTGGTTTGTCTGACTTTGTCTCTCTTTATTCCCAGCGTCCGTGTTTGGCGACAGCCTGCGGCTGCGGCCCGAGAGAGGAGAACAAGAACAGGTGGCGGCGGGAGGGAGGTGGGCATCATGGTCCACTCAAGCACACCCTTGGTCTCTCTGTCTTTCTCTTCTATTGCTGCAGCGTCCGTGTTTGGAGACAGCTTGCGACTGCGGCCCCTGAGGGAGGAGGACAAGAACAAGTGGAGGCGGGAGATGGGCATCATGGTGTCGGTGTGTCGACACATCGTTGAGCTGGCGCCAGGCTGGCAGACGCGCCCTGATGGCACGCGGTTTGAGGTACGGTTGGTGGGACAGGGGCAGGATCAGGGTCGGGAAAGAGCTGTGGGGATGGGAAGCGGGAGGGAGATGGGCATCATGGTGTCGGTGTGTCGACACATTTTGGAGCTGGCTCCTGGGTGGCAGACGCGCCCCTGATGGCACGCGGTTTGAGGTGAGGAGGGGTGGAGGGAAGGGAAAGAGCAGGGGTGGTAGCAGGAATTAGGGTTTGATGGGAAAGAGGAGGGAGGATGGTGGACAGTGGAATCCGAAAGGTTTTATGCTCATTTTTGCAGTTTTATTATACTCTGCTTTCCTCTGCTTTCCTCACCCGCCCCTCTGGTGATCGATTGGGGTTTTTGCAGAACACTGCACACTGCAGACACAGACAGAGCCCCTCACCCTGCTGTCCTCTGCGCTCCTCTGCTTTCCTCACCCGACCCTGCTCGAAAATGACAGGTCATGAAGCGGAGAGTGAGGGAGGACCTTCGAATCAACCTCCCAGCGCTCAACAAGCTAGACCATCTGCTGCAGGTGCGTGGGTATATGTCTGTGTGGTGTGTGGGCAGGCAGGGCGTGTGATTGGGGACTGTGTGTGTGTGGGGTACCTCTGAGGCAGATCAACCTCCCAGCGCTCAACAAGCTAGACCACCTGCTGCAGGTGCGTGGTGCAGGCGTGTGTGGTGTATGGGCAGGGCGTGCGTTTGGGGAATATGTGTGTGGGGGATATTTTTGAGGCAGATCAACCTCGAGGATAGGAATGTGCCAAAGGATCTCGAGACAGAGAAAGGGGAGAGTGAGAGGGAGGTGGAAGAGAGTAAGGAGCATGCAGAGGAGAGAGGAGAGAGAGATAGAGGAGTTGAAGTCAAAGCTGAAAGAGGCAGAACAGAGGGCAGTTGATGCACGGGCTATAATAATGGCCCGTGATATCGCCATTGAGGAGCATATCAGACTCCAGGCCATGTGCCACACGGAATGGGAAACATCTGCTTGTTTTGTTCATTCACCAGCTCTCTATACAGAACGTCAAGTTCTGCGAGAGGCTGGTAAGTGTGGTTTTGCTGCGCCG